CCTTTTCAGATAGTAAATCAGTTACTTAGCATTTTCTCATATCAATAATACCTCCACATGCCCAATGATACACTTCACACAAAAGACATTTCCCAATAGGTCCACCAGCCTCATCCAGGCCCTACCCAAGACACTCACAGATCAACACCCCAGTCCTAAACTAACTCAACACATCCAGATCTAAGCCTTCATCACTTGATTCAGCAGACCCTCAAGTTCCCACGAAAGTTTCCACCCATGTCTGAGAAGCAGCCGTGGGGCAGGGGCAGGCAAGGAGCAAGCTGTTCTGGGCCTGGCTGCTCAGGGCCTGGCCTCTGTTGCTCTGGTTCATTCCACAACCAGCTGCTCCGGGTCTGGTCACTGCCGCTCCCGACCTAGTTGCTCTGGACTTGGCTGCTGCTGCTCCGGGCCTGGCCTCTCCCAGCCTGGCAGCCGCTGCTCCGGGCCTGGCCGCACCCGTCCCGCCTGCTCCCCCGGGCCTGGCCGCTCCCAGCCTGGCAGCCGCTGCTCCGGGCCTGGCCTCACCCGACCCGCCTGCTCCCCCGGGCCTGGCCGCTCCCAGCCTGGCAGCCGCTGCTCCGGGCCTGGCCGCACCCGACCCGCCTGCTCCCCCGGGCCTGGCCGCACCCGACCCGGCTGCTCTGGGCCCGGCTGCCCCGGGCCTGGCCGCTCCGAGCCTGGCCACTCCCGACCTGGATGCTCTGGGCTTGGCTACTGCTGTTCTGGGTCTGGCTGCTCCCACCCCGGCTGCTCTGGGCCCGGAGAAGCCGGGCCCGGCCACTCCGGGTCTAGGTGTTCCTGGACTGGCCACCCTGGGCTTGGCCGCCTCCGCCTCATGCCTGGCTGCCACTGCCCCAGGTCTGGCTACTCCAGTGCTGGCTGTTGATACTCTAGTTCTGGCTGCTGCTGCTCTGGTGCCTGGCCGTTGCTGCTCCAGGTCTGGCTGCCACTGCCTTGTGCCTGGCCACTCTAGGCCTGGCCGTCGCTGTTCCAACATTCTGTCCTTTTTTTTTTTCTTTTTAAAACGCATTTATGTTGCAATGTTGGCTGGTGAGTTGAGTTCTGATTTAGTCTTTGATTTTTCAAGATCTTCTTTGTATTCTTTCTTAAGTAATTTTACTATTTTTTGCTCTCACTTGATTTCTTCACATTGAGAACTTCTTTGGTTTCTTCCTCATTGTCCTGGGAGCTCAGCAGGTTGGCCTGTGGCACCCCTTTGTTCTCCGCGGGCTCCTGCGCTGCTTCAGCCTGTTGCCGGGACGGCGCCGCTCAGGAAGCAGCCCCCCGCCTTGGCTCCATTGCCCGAGCTCAGTGGTCAAAGGCTCAGGGGCACCCAAGCCCCCAGGGGCTCCGTGGCCCGCCTCCTTGCTGGTGCCCGGTTGGCTGGAGTCCGGCAGGGGCTTCCGCTCCCTTCCGCGTTCCCCCAGCCTAGAGCTTTTTTTTTCCTCCTTCCCGCTAGAGAAGTCCAGCATCAGAGTCAACAGACTGTCCTCTGCGCGCAGTTTGCGCGAGTCCCGGGGGCCCGGCCTTTCGCCGCTCTCCCCAGACTCCACCTCACAGCCCCGTCTCCCTCTGCCTGAGCCTGGGTCCCCAGGGATTAGCCCAGAACTGGGGTTCGGAGCAGTCCGGACTGAGGCTCAGCGCCGCCGGAGGCCTTGTTTCTTCCGGCTAGGGTAACCCAGCATCAGAGTCAACATTCAGTCCTCTGCGCTCGCATTGCGCGCGACTCCCGGGGCCCTGCTTTTCGCCATTTTTCCGCCTCACAGCCCCGTCTCCTCCCACCGGGGCCTGGGTCCCCAGGGTCTGGCCCATAACTGGGGCTCAGCGCTGCCGGTTCGGGGGGGCTCAGCGCTGCCGGTTCGGGGTTCAGCCCAGGCTGCGGGTTTTATTTCCTTCCTGCTAGGGAAGGAAAGGCGGCTCCCCGCCCTCTCCTCCTCTCAGGCTGCGACCTCTCCGTGGGCGCGTGCGGGCGGGCGGGCGGGCGTGCGTGCGCAGCATGTCTCCGTACCTTAGGCTTTTTTTTCAGCTCCTCTGATTTTCTTTCTGGTTTTCTCTTTCCTTCTTGTTGTAGAAATTTCAGTCAGTCGACTACCTGTAGCTCTGGGCAATGTGCACTCTACATTTTAGTTGTATTCCATTGAAATTGTTGTGTGCTGCCGCAGTTAGATGTCTACCCGAGCAGCCATCTTGGATCCTCCGTTTCAGCACTTCTAACTTTTCCTTGAAGTACCTATTAATGTTTTCATTATACATCTGTATGAGTTTGGTCTATTTCTCCCACTAAATTCTAAGCTCTGAGACCAGAGTTCATGTTATTTTGCCCATCATGGTGTCATCTCACCTAATAGCCCTTGGAACATATATAATAGTACCAGAGGCCCAGTGCAAGAAATTTGTGAGGGGGGGGGCGCGGGGAGGTTCAGCCCAATCTGCACTGCACCCAATTGCTCACCTGCCTGCCTGCCTGGTTACCCCTAACTGCCCCCTCACTGAAATCAATAAGACTACATTTTTTTTTTTAAATGAGAAAGCTGGCACTGATCACTGATCATGTGATTCTTTTTTTAATATATTTTATTAAATTTTTACAGAGAAGAAGGGAGAGGGATAGGGATAGAGAGTTAGAAACATTGATGAGAGAGAAACATCTATCAGCTGCCTCCTGCATACCTCCTAATGGGGATGTGACCACAACCAAGGTACATGCCCTTGACTGGAATCGAACCTGGGACCTTTCAATCTGCAGGTCAACGCTCTATCCACTGAGCCAAACCTGTTTCGGCTTATCATATGATTCCTAAGGGTAGGAAATAACAGGACTGGGTTAAAAGTAAGTGGAATTTTAGATCTGAGAAGGAACTTACAGATCAAATCCCAATCCTCAATTCACAAATGAGGACCCTTGAGGCCCATTTATTTATTCATTGAACAAATATTTATTGTGTGTCTACATGCTCAATGCTGGAAATACAATGAACAAGACATGGTCCGAAAAGGGAAAGTGGCTTGCCCAAAGCCACAAAGCAAGTTAGCAGGTAAATAGAGGCTCTTCGCACTAAACCCTTTTTTCTAATAATATACAATCATTTCTGTATCTGTAAGTACGCTAAGCTTTGATGAAGGTTCTATGCAAAGTAAGATTTTCATATGCAAGTGATATAATAACATTCCGCAACATAAGGGATATATATGTATGTTGTCTTGCACAAAAAAAAAGTTGTTTTGCACAGTCACTACCCAGGTTTAATTTAGTAGATTTAAAATATTTTAAAATATGCTTAAATTTCAAAGGAGATACTACATGTAAACTGAATCTAAGGCAGGCCCTAAAGAAGAGCAAAATAATATTGTCTCCAAATGGGGAATAGCAGAAAGAACTCAAGGAAGTAGGAAATATATGTATAGATGTATATATATAATATTCAGATCATGTTAGAATCTATGTAAAATAACCACACATAGATTCTTCATTAACACTTGAAATGATAATTTCCTTAGAAGTGCTTTCTAATTTCTTTGTCATAAGTCATTAGGGATTTCATATACAAATTCTGACAATCTGCTTCTTAAATTTTTTCAAGATGACTTCTGGTCATATAACTATGACTCTTACTATATTCTTTCTATTTTAAAATATAACTTTCATTTAACTAGTGTTCTAATATTTTATTTTCAATAAATTACTCTATTTAAAAGACCTAGTTCTCACATTAATCATTCATAAAATAACCAGTTTGGTTACTTTAGTGTTATAAGACAAACAGAGATTTAGTTCCTCCTTTATATAATGTAAATATCCTGCATTGGAACTTACTTCTTTAAAAGAAAACTTACGTACCTCATTTCAAAATGAAAATGGCACCTATTATAAAAGGAAAAATGAGAGTTGGAACCAATCTTTTTTGTAGCTTTTTGCTGATTTAATAACCTGAAAAAAACAATAGGGGAGGTCTTTAATACAGGAGAGGATAGGAGCCTCTATAAGAAGCAATACGGTAGCCTCGGAGTGCCTCTTTAATTAAAACAAACCATAAGAAAAGGTGTGAAATTTTTGTGACTTATTTAAATAATAAGTTTTTGAGACACCCCTGATTGGAAAATAGTAATTCATATTCCAACAACTCTTGAGAATCAGAGATGGAGAGCTGAGGGAATTGAAAAGCTACTTGTGCTATACCTCTAATATTACATGAAGTTCCAAGATTGGTTTTCTGTCCTCAGACTCTAGAAGGCTCTCCTACTGCTGCATTTCCTTCCCCTGGCCATTCACTCCCTATTACTGTTGTCCTTCTTCTCTTCGTGGTAAACTCTGATGAGACAGGCACCTTGAATCAATCACAGCACAAAGTCAATACTCAATAATGAATACCATAGTTGGTAAGCAGAATTTAAAAATTGATAATATGTATTCTAATTCATATATCCATACTCTGAAATGAACTATAATAATAAAAACTGAAAGTATATCAGAAACATGTGGTTTTACCTCAATCATCGGGTTATGCTAAATGGCAGGGCTGAGAATTTTGAAGGATCTGGCTAAAATAACATGGTATATGCTGTTCTAAAAATATCAACCACTTTTTAAACAGGAAGAATCAACTTCAAGCCTCAGATAATGAAAGACAGAAGAGAACTTTCAGGAATAAAAGAAACATTAAGTGGGGAAAAAAAAGACAAGATAATTTTATCTCTGGGTTAAGACATTTTAATATACATAATGTATAGTACTTCATATAATTTATTAATGTCATTTACTATAGGGCACTGTAATTAATTCAGTGACATCAATATTGACCTCACACAAGGATAAAAGCTGGGTTTTCTTGTGTACCAAGTTCAAAACATGTACTGAAGAGTTATCGCACACAACAGTTATAGGAGATCAACTTTAAGGATGACTCAAGTTTACAGTAGTTGCTTCACATGGTTTTCCCTCAAGACTTGAATGCCACCCAGTGTTGCCATGTTTGTGCAAATGCCAGCTCTGGACTGCCCAACTACCTCCTTTTACCAGCCCCACTTTTGCCTGTTTTACTGCTGCTGCTGCTAGACTTGCCAGATGATTTTGAAGAGAAGAGTCTTGTCATGAACTCAGAAACATCAGGCAGTTCATGATTGGAATTCAGCATATTCATCGACTGCTCCATCTCCTGCAGGAAGAGAAAGCATAATGACATGAAAGACACAGGGATCCCTGGGTCACTGAACAACTGACACTTCCATGAAGGAAGAAGGAAAGGAATAGAACAAGTGAAAGGCACTGGTTCTAAGCAATGATGCACTGTTATACCCAAAAGCACTTCAGAAACCATGTTTTGTGCCTCCTTTATACCAGTACTAGAGGCCCAATGCCTGAAAATTCATATAAGAGTAGGCTTTTCTCCCCGCCCCCGGATGCCAGCACCAGCTTCCCCCAGGCACCCGGGATGCAGGCAGCTTCCCTCTGGTTGCTGGCAGGCACCTGGGACCTTGGTGGCTTCGCTCCAGCCCCAGCTTCATCTGGAATGATGTCCAGTCTAATTAGCATATTACCTTTTATTATTATGGATGCATTTTGATCCTTAATAAATGTCCAATAAATGCTTGCCTAGGGTCTGCCTCAGCTTATCCTTCCTATATAATAAAAGCTCATATGCAAATAGACCAAACGGCAGAACAACCAAACAACTGAACAACCAGTCGTTATGATGTGCACTGACCACCAGGGGGCAGGCGCAGAACATGGTGGTGTCAGCAACAGGTGGCAGAGTACAGAACACGGCAGGTGTCAGCCGCGGAAGGATGGTGGAGAAGGTAAGCGGGGTGCCAGACCAAAGCAAGGTGCCGGTTGCTATCATTGGGGCAAGCCTCTGGTGGTTACTGAAAATTCTTTGCTCCTGCGTGCCACTGTCCCACCTGGTGCTCGTACCCACTACTGGCACCTAGCACTGGTCTTGATTGCTTGGCGCCGTGAGTGGGTGCGAGTGGCAGCTGCCGGTCCTCATCGCCCCTCAAGGCTTCTCCACCTTCCCCTGCTCCTGAGGGGTGATCAGGACCGGCTCTTGCACCCACAGCCAGCATCAGGCACCAGTCCCAATCACTTGGCGCCATCAGTGGGCGCAAGCAGCAGCTGCCAGCCCCAATCACCCGTGAGGGCTTCTCCATCTCCCCTTGTTCCTGAGGGGCGATAAGGGCAGCAGCCACCTCTTGCACCAAGTGACAGCGCCAGCCCCAATCACTCTGCGCTGTTAGCCAGTGTGAGTGAAGCTGGTGCCGTCAGCACATGGGAGTGGTGGCAGCAGGAGCCAGGTGGAGGCACAGCGGATGGGCCAAGACCCACCTCTGTGCCCACTGTAGCCTACAGTTCCTTTAAAGATGCACGAATTCATGCACTGGGCCCCTGGTGTTTTTATAAAAGGCACCAGAGGCCCAGGGCACAAAATTCATACACCCGGTGGGGCGGGGGGAAGGGGGCCTTCAGCTCAGCCTGTGCCCTCTTACAGTCTGGGAGCCCCACGATTGACTGCCCCGCAAGGGGGGACCCCGCTCACTGCCGCTGGCCGGACAGCCTGGGCTTCCCTCTTTGGGGCAATCATGGAGCCTCTGTGGGGGACCACCTGACAAATCGCATTGCACCTGCCTTGGCAGCAGCAGTCAGTGCTGGAATACCACGGTGCCCATGACCCAGGAGGGACTGAGAGGTCAGCAGTCCAGCCCACTTGCCAGTCCCTGCCCACCCCAGCCTACTGCATGCACAGCCTGGCATTCGGGCGTCCATTCAATCATTTTGGACATTACGGACCCTGGCTCTTTATATATTAGGATTTCCTCCAATAATGGACATATGTTATCATATTCCTGCCACCTTGTTTGTTTTCTGATTACAATGTTTTGACAAGTGTTTTTTAAACTCACACTTTCTTTAGATACATATAACCAGAACGTCAATCTTTAATTACCTATCAAGGTATCAGCATAATTTGGAAGAGAACAGCAGTATTTCTAAGACTTGATTCCTAAGGCCCTTAGTAATACAGTTATGTCATATGACTTGGGTAGCCTCAACTATAATATAACATCTAAAGCAAGCAACACAAATGCTACAAACAAGTTACTGGCAGGACAGAATAAGGGTCTGACACTTTTATTTTGAGGTCTGTCTTCCTCTTTATTAAGCAAAAAACCCACAAGTACTGTTCCACTTTTGCAATATTATTATAATGTCTGCTTCATTGAATTTTATGTGGCATTCCAAAAGTGAATTTAAAACGGTTAGATCAGATATGAAAAAAATAGCAAATACTATATTACCTATCACTTAAAATTTAATACCTTTGGGTATTAGCTTGGACTTTCTCCCCAAAGGAAGAATTTATACATAGGTTTTCAAGGAGAAAGTGCTTTACAAATAAGGACAGGAAAAGAAACATTATAAATATAAATCAAATATGTTTAATGTGTCCTAATAATAAAGAATTAAATGTATATGGTAATAAGTCTTGAGTCCCTGCAAAAAGATATCAACTCTATTTTTTTTAAATATATTTTTATTGTTTTCAAAGAGGAAGGGAGAGGGAAAGAGATGAAACATCAATGCTGAGAGAGAATAATCGATTGGCTGCCTCCTGCACACCCCACATTGGAGATCAAGCCCACAACCTAGGCATGTGCCCTTGACTGGAATCGAACCTGGGACCCTTCAGTCCGCAGGCTGATGCTCTATCCACTGTGCCAAACCAGCTTGGGCTCAACTCTATTTTTTAATCTGTTCAATTCTGAAGCTCTTCTTTTTTTTTAATTCTGAGACAATGAAACAAGGAATAGCTTAGGACAGAAGAAGTAACAGAAGAACCTAGGCAGGGCTGCTTTGGCTCAATAAGAAGTCAGAAAAAAGGGGGGCTTGGAGACAGGTTCAGGGGATTAGTCCAGCATGAGCTGTCACTGGTTGCAAATTTCATGGGGACCCTTAGAGTTTAGAAGGTGCATGCCTGAGAGAGAAGAAGAAGGTGAAGGAAAGACACAGGCGTGCTCCTGGGAGAGGGAGCACACCTGAAGCTCTTGAATGAACAACTTTTTATATTGCTTACTATGTGAAAAGTACTTTGCAAGTAAATTAATTTTTAATCCAATGTGACTTTTAATGCTGTATCTGTTGATGCCACAGAGAGTTAAGTGGCTTAACAGATACAAGGAATCTATAGGATGTACACTTTCTGACCAACAATGAAGCAGAGATGCCAAAATTTAGCAATAAAATATTATAAAACATTATAAAGCTTTCTTTTTCCACAGAGCTTTTTCTGTCATTCCAACTTGGAATAAAATGCCTCACCTTCTACAGAAGTTATTATCTTAGCAAACATTTTTATTTATTACATGTTTATCTTAGCAAGAAGAATTTTTACAAATTCATTCTATCTCCTACACTATATTTATCTGGATTATGTATTTATTGATGACAGAGATGACATAATAACTCATTTGCATATTCTCCAGTATCAAGAACCTAGAATTAATTAGTAAATGTTTTTCAGCAATGAATAAGATATCAACACATCAATACATTAATTAATTATATTGGGAAAACTTGGAACTAAGAAGATATTTATTATTTTAAGTGGAAGAATGGACAATGATTTTTTAAAAACTGAAGATTTTATATGGAAGCCAATTTAAAAGAGACAAAGCTGTGGCACTAAACTTGAAGCATCCTACTCGTATCTCCCCAGTCCAGTTTTGTGATACAAAGTCTAAAAGCCACTATTCTATTTTCAACCTTAGTCTATTTAAATTTCTTTCATGTGTCTGAACACATAAACTAAATGTGTACTCTAAAGAGTTTTGTAAAGTAAAAACAGAATATAGGAAGCTATCATTTTGTAAAATATTTGGGTTGAGAATACCAGGATTATTACACATTTCAACTCTATAACAAGTGAGGCACAGAGTCTAATACTAAGAATGTTTTAGCTATATGAAGAGACACCAGCCTTTATTAAGCTGAAACAACTGAATTTATCTGGTGCAATGGTAATGACTATCTAAATGCCAGGGACATAATACTGTATTAGCACAACTCTAGATGAATTTGGCTTGGGAATTAGGATTAAGCTGAAAGATCCAAGCCACCCAGCCACAACAGATGGACCAGGCATCAGAATATGGTTCAAAACCCCACAGCTAGGCAATCATCTTACCCGTCTCATGTCAGGATCACTTGTGTTGACCACTTTAGGCAGAAGTACAAATATCAACAATGGAAGAACCATCATCATAACCTGTGAGAGGAAAAAAAAAAATCAGAAAATGTTTCTTTCCACTTAACAGTAGAACAAAATGTGCATCTAATCAATGATAAAATTAAAGATTTAAATGTTGTATTTATATATATAAAACCCTAATATGCAAATAGACAGAATAGAAGAACAACCTAACAACTGGTTGCTATGATGTGCGCTGATCACCAGGGAGCGTGCACAGAACATGGTGGAGCAAGTGAGAGGTGGCATCAGACCAGAGCGGAGCACCAGCTGCTGTCATTGTGGTGAGCCTCTGGTGGTTACTGAAAATTCTTTGCTCCAGCATGCTGCTGTTCCACCAGGTGCTCGCACCTGCTGGCAGCACCAGTCCCACTTGTACCTGCTGCCGGCGTCAGAGCTGCTGCTCATACCCACTGCCGGCACCCGGCACCAATCTCTCGGCACCATCAGCAGGTGTGAGCATCAGCTGCAGGCCCCAATCACCCTCAGGGCTTCTCTACCTTCCCCTGCTCTTGAGGGGCAATTGGGGCCGGCAGCTGCCTCTCACACCCACTGCAGTTGCCAGCCTGAATCACTCCATGCCATCAATGGGAGCGGGCCGGTGCCAACAGCGCGTGAGAATGGTGGTGGCAGGAGCAGAGCTGCCAGAAAACAGGGGATTGGGGACTGTGGCAGGAGGGGCTAGGTGGGAGTGCAGAAAATGGGCTGAGACCCAACCCTGTGCCCACCGCAGCCTTGCGACCCATAGTTCCTTTCAAGGTGCACGAATTCATGCACTGGGCCCCTAGTGTAGAATAAAACTAGTAGCAACCACCTCAATTCTCCTGAACTAGCTTTGCTGATAACAAGGTACTCGTCAATGTCTGACTATTGCAGAATATAAAAGCCTTGTCTATATGTACGTGTTTGGGTTTTATAGACACCTTACTCTGAGTTTGTGCCATCTACCATTTTGTGGTTTATAGCTTTAGTTAACACAAATAGTTTGGTCTTAGGTGACCCTGCTAGTGGTTCTCAACCTGTGGATTGCAACTGCTGCTGTAGAGTCTAAGACCATCGGAAAACACAGATATTTACATTACGATTCATTAACAGTAGCAAAATTACAGTAATGAAGTTGCAACAAAAATAATTTTATGGTTGGGAGTCACCACAACATGAGGAACTGTATTAAAGGGTCATGGCATTAGAAAGGTTGAGAACCACTGCTCTAGAGCAATATATTCTAGGCAACTATTTTATCAGATCAATTCAAAAGATGTCCTAGAAGCTTATAGCTTTGGATATGCTTCCATGAATTTCATTAATTAGAATATAGCCCTGACCGGGTACCTCAGTTAGTTGGAACATTGACCCAATACACCAAAGTTATGGGTTCGGTCTCCCGTCAGAGCCCATACTAGAATCAACCAATGAAAACATCAATGAGTGGAACAATACATCAATGTTTTTCTCTCTCAAATCAATTTAAAAAATAATAATAATAATAAAAGAAATTGGAGCCCTAGCCACTTTAGCTTAGTGGATAGAGCGTCAACTGCGGATTAAAGGGTCCCAGGTTCAATTCCGGTCAAGGGCACATGCCCGGGTTGCAGGTTCCATCCCCAGTGTGTGTGTGTGTGTGTGTGTGTGTGTGTGTGTGTGTGTGTGCAGGAGGCAGCCAATCAATGATTCTCTCTCATCACTGACGTTTCTATTTCTCTCTCCCTCTTCCTTCCTCTCTGAAATTAATTAAAATATATTATATATATTTTTTTTTAAAATAAAGAAATTGAAACATGAAGTCTCATTGCTGATTTCTCCTATCTACTCTATCCTTCTGTTTCTTTATCTCTGATAGGAGATTGTAGGTACTAATTTATTCCTCTCTAGAGGATATACAGTCCTAAACATTCCTATTGGTAAAATGAATAGCTATCAGCAAAGAATGTTAGACAATTCTAACAATAACTCAACTTTCAAAAGCAGCAAAAAAAAGTCAATTTACCTCTAAAGAATGTACTCTGTTAGTGTTTTTTCTTAATTCTTTTCTATTGATTTGAGCAAGACATGAATGGGGGGGGGGGGGGGATAAATACTGGTTACTTCCCACAAGAGCCCAGCCAGGAGGATTGAACTCAAAACCTGGGTATGTGCCCTGACTGGAAATTACAATGTCAAATCTACCATGCAATTCTCATTATATTCTTTTCATTAAATATTCCTCAAATCCACTAATTATACTTTCACTCAACAATCTGATGTCAGCTTTCTATCTCATAGGGGTTAAAGGCAAATTAGAGATTAGTAGAGATACTTTGTTATAACCTGATACATACCATTGGGTTCATCAGAAAGTCTGTCCAGCCCCATGATTCCCTTTTAATAAAGTAAGAAGGTGGGCCTGAAGATTTCATTTGAAGCGGATAGGGCAGTCTGACCACTTCTGATGTTTTAATATAATTCACATATCTTGCTCTGATAAAACAACATGAAAAATCAGTAATTCTACTAAAAACATTACTATTATAGTTCAAAGAATTGCCTATAAGCAATGGTTTATAATTACCTATAGCTTTCCCCAAATACTTAGATATCTAAACTTTTGACTTGAAAGTCTGATCAAAGTAGCTTTACATATGTCTAAAATATTTAGCAAAATGTAAAGAAAAAACACAAGACTTGGAATCAAGCTACACATTTAAAAGAAATAGCGATACATATTTTATCCAGCATTCTAAGGTTTTACATTCGGCCAAAATGTCAGAAGTGAAAGTCTTACGTATACTTTAAACTAACTTACCAAGCATACTTATAAAGCATTGGTCAAGAATATTAGGATCTTTTTTTAAAAATGTTTTTTATTGATTTTAGAGAGAAAAGGGCAAGGGAGAGGGAAAGAGGAGAAGGAGAAAGAGAAACACTGACTGGCTGCCTCCCACAAAAAAAACAACTGGGGATTGAACCCAAAACCTGCATATGCGCCCTGACCAGGAATTGAACCAGCAACCTTTTGGTGCATGGGACAATGCTCAACCAATTGAACCACACAAGCCAGGGCAAGAATATTAGGATCTTATACGAATCCCACTTGATAAGGTCCTTGTTTTCTTTTTATCTATGCTTCAGGCATCCAATCATTAGGAATGGATCTGCGAATAAGAATCCCATTGCTACAACCAGTCCTTAAATGCTAAAGCAAGAAGTACTCTTTCCCCAAGGTAAAAAAGCAAATAAAACTTCCATATTTAGAAAAATATTTCTATTTGCTTAGACTACAAATTCAAAATTCAGAGTAAAAAGAATAAAAATCATTTCGTTTTTAACAGGAAAGTATTCCCTTTTAACAATTCTCATCCCCTCCAGAATTCAGTATTTGCTATTTAAAAAGTTTTTTTAAGGGTGGAGGTAAGCAATGGGGGAAACGAGGGACATCCCCATTCCCATCCCCTCCCCAGGCCTTCATCCCCCTGTTGTCTGTGTCCATGAGTTATGTATGCATGCATATAGTTTCTTTGGTTGATCTCTTCTCTCCTCCTCCCTCTTAGGGAATCCTCAGTCTGTTGCATGCTTCCATATCTCTGGATCTATTTTGTTTGTCAGTTTATTTTGTTCATTAGATTCCACATATAAGTGAGGGGGGAAAGTTTTCTAACCTATATATAATGTATACTATAATCTACATATTCTACCATCTCCAAGCTTGCAATTCAAAATGTGTAAAAAGTCATGATAAGTCCTTTAAGATTTAATTTACATACTAGAATTTTACCTGTACATTTTTTTAAAATCTTTATGTCCCTAAAAAGAATGAGAAAGTTGATACCTAACGAGGTTCATGTACTTTAAAGCAATCCATTTATCATTTAGTTCGTCAGATCATTTATGAACATATTTGCAAGATATTAGCTTCAATTCAAACTTCATTTTTGCTCTAAATAGCCAGCATCAAGAAATATGATTAGAATTTGGACAAAGTAGAATAATCTAAGATAAAAACTGAACTTCAAAAAGAGAGGAATTTGTTTCTAAATAATGTATCTTTAGCCCTGGCTGGTTTGGCTCAGTGGATAGAATGTTGGTCTGCAAACTAAAAGTCCTGGGTTCAATTCTGGTCAAGGGCACATGCCAGGTTTCAGGCTTGGTCCCCAGTGGGGGGCATGCAGGAGGCAGCCAACCAATGATTCATTCTCATCATTGATGTTTCTATCTCTCTTTCTCCCTCTCTCCCTTCTTCTCTGAAATCAATAAAAAAAATTTTAAATGCATTTTTAATGACATCTTGATATTGGTTTCGTTATAACATTAAGAACTTAGCCTAAACTGGTTTGACTCAGTGGATAGAGCGTCAGTCTCGGACTAAGGGGTCCCAGGTTCAATTCCAGTCAAGGGCATGTACATTGGTTGCAGGTGCATCCCCGGTAGGGGGTGTGCAGGAGGCAGCTGGTCCATGTTTCTCTCTCATCGATGTTTCTAACTCTCTACCCCTCTCCCTTCCTCTCTGTAAAAAATCAATAAAATATATAATTAAAAAAAAAACCTTAAAATACTATGGAATAACTGTCTCTGTTCACTATACATGCTAAAAGAGAGAAAGAAAATCCTACATGTCTATCAGTAGGAGCTGATTATGAAAATGATGGCAAATCGACTCATGGTCTAATATGCGGCTGATATAAAGGATAAGAGAGCTCTGTGTGTTACTCTATTTGAATGATAGCATATTTACATATCATACTATAAAAACTTTTAACTAAAAAAAAGCATAAAAAAGAAGAGAAACATTTTAAAAGTAAATACTAATTCAACTGTAAATATTATGGTATTAAGTAAACATATCTCTATGTCATCTCAATTTGGAGTAGCTATAAATCAACCTGATCAGGGGCTTGGCACATACTGAAAAGGTCAGTAATAAAATGTAGCTCCTCTAACCCCCAAATTATTTTTGCCATTACATGACTCTTGCTTTATTACAGCAACATGCAATAATTTTGTGATAGCTCAAACAAAAAGAGATATTACCATTTAAAGTTGTTTCATATTTGTTAATTATACCTCAATAAAGCTAGAAAAATAAATATATAAAATTGCTTCATATACTTCCTGTTGAGATTAGACAAAAAGAATACAATAATAAAACAAATAAATATATTGGAGGTTATAACAAAAGGCTGAATGAATCTGAATATTATGGATATCTACACAACCAATTCCAACTGCAAATGTATTTGTGGTATTCCATATTCACAGCCTGAATTAACCCAAAATTCTTTTCAGCTCAAATTCTGAAATTTTTCCTAGTCTGTCAGCCTCTAACACTGTGCTTTTCTTTATCTTCTTATGATCTCATTTAAAAATAAAATTAAAAATTCTACAATATGGCCGAAACCGGTTTGGCTCAGTGGTAGAGCGTCGGTCTGCGGACTGAAAGGTCCCAGGTTCGATTCCGGTTAAGGGCATGTACATCGGTTGCGGGCAAATCCCCGGTAAGGGTGTGCAAGAGGCAGCTGGTCGATGTTTCTCTCTCATCGTCGTTTCTAGCTCTCTCTCTCTCTCTCTCCCTTCCTCTCTGTAAGAAATCAATAAAATATATTTTTTTAAAAACACAAAAAAAACCCCTCTACAATATAATCTATTATTATCCCAAAAGATATTGAATTTCCATTGCACATTAAATATTCCAAAAAATAATAATAGAAATGTCTAGGTCAACACACTATGAAATAGGTACTAAGATATTATCAAAATATCCCAATGGCTCTGGCCAGTTTAGCTCAGTGGATAGAGCATCGGCCTATGGAATAAAGGGTCCTGGGTTCAATTCCAGTCAAGGTCACAGGCCAGAGGGGCTCGATCCCCAGTGGGGGGCATGTGGGAAGCAGCCAATCAATGATTCTCTCTCATCATTGGTGTTTCTATCTTTCCCTCTCCCTTCCTCTCTGAAATAAATTTAAAAAATAATAATAATAAATAAAAGATTTCCTCTCTCAAAAAAATCCCAATGAAAAACAGCTGATTAATAATATTTCAATTTAGAAAAATTAAATTATTCCCAACTTTAATCACGTTTCATTTACAACTTTCACAGTGCTTTTGTTGTATAGTAAGCAATCTTATCTCTTCTCTATATAATCACATTAAGACTTTTACAATAATTTTTAAACCAGAGCAGAAGGAAGTTCAATTTTACAATATTATCAATCCTCAGATTAAAACAATTTAAGTAATACTGTAGCCGACACTTTGGTAAAAATTAAATCAGTTGCTCTGACCTCATTTTTCCTTTTGAAGTAATATCCACTCGAATGGGATCAAACCTGTAAGCAGGAGATATAACTTCCACTACATAAGATCCAGAGGGTATATCATGAACCACAAAACTCCCATCTGTCCTGGAAAAATGAAAATCATATTTAGTCACTTCTGATCAATAGCTTATTCTTTTCTAATGTTTTAGATCATCTTGTTGACCCACAAATCAACCCCCCCAAGAATGACATTCAGAGCAATTAGAAAAAAATACTCCCAAATTAGCAAGAGTTGCCCATGCTTCAGCTTCCATAATTACACTGAATGGGTTCTGAAAATACCCCAGACACTCCACAGTAGCAGAGAACCCTGACATAGAAAGTACTTCTATTCCCTCTGAGGAATAGGCACAGAGATAACAGGCACAGAAGCACAGTTCCTGTTCTGAAGCCATGTATTCATTCAAGGGAAACAATCAATATGCATTACTAGAGGTCCGTGCACCAGCGGGGTCCCTCGGTGTGGCCTGCAGGGATGGGGCAGAAACTGGCAGTCCAACATACCCCCAAGAAACGTAGTAGTGCGTGAAGCAGCAGGCACACTCCCACTCATCCTGGCCCTGCTGTGCCTGCTGCCGCCGCCACCGCCCACTAGGTTCGCTGCCACTCCACTGCAGACTCCGAGCGCCCGCCCTAGGGCAATACCGAGCACCCATGACCGAGAAGCAGCTGCGGAATCGTGCCCAATCAGTCCCGATGCTGGTCTGAATGATTCCAGCAGTCTGAATGGGGTCGGGGCGCGCAGGGGGAGTGTCCACAGGAGAGGCTTGCGCTGCCCCAGCTGCACTAGCCAGCCACTGACCTGATCACCCTCAACTGCCCCCCCCCCGCCAGCCTCATTGCCCCCAAATGCCCCCCACAGGCCTGCTTGCCCCCAACTTCCCCCTCCTCCCATCTGCCCACTCCCTGCCGGCCTGCTCACCCACAACTGCCCCCCACTGACCTGATTGCCCCCAACTGCCTCCCTGCCAGTCTGATTGTCCCCAACTGCCCCCCAACAGGCCTGCTTGCCCCCAACTGCCCCTCGCCAGCCTGCTCACCCACAACTGCCCCCACCACCATCTGCTCACCCCCAACTGCCCTGTGCCCTGTCAGCCTGATCGCCCCTACGGCCTCTGCTTAGCCCGCCACCATGACTATCCAGAAGGACATGCAGAAGGTCTCCCGGAAGGTCTCTTGGTCTAATTAGCATATTACCCTCTTATTAGTATAGATTTATTTTGTTAGTCCTCACTTTAGAATTATTTTTCCATTGATTTTTTTTTTTTAGAGAGTGTGGAAGGGAGGGGGAGAAAAAGAAGACAGGAAGGGAGGGAGGGAGAGAGGAAAAGGGTAGGATGAAGAAAGACATACATAGATGTGAAAGAGACACATTGACTGGTTGCCTCCTACACTCACCCCAACCAGGACCTGGTATTGAACCTGCAACCCAGGTACATGCCCTTGATCTTGAATCGAACCCAAGACCTTCCGGTGCACAGGCCAATGCTCTAATCACTTAGCAACACTGGCCAGGGCCATAAAAACATTTTTAAGATAAGTAGGAAAACATAAAAATTGACTGGGTATTAGTAGATGAAGTTATGGTATTAATAATTTTGTTGAATCAATAATGGTGTTATTTTTTTAAGACTATCTTCTAGAGATATGAAATAATGTTTTTATAAGTGAAATCATATCATCTTTAGGATCATATTTAAATAGCCTAGAAAAAAACAAAGGAAGTATAGAGGACACATTAAACAAACAGTAGATTGTGATAGGTACCTAAGGATTTACTAAGCCATCCTGTTTATTTTAGTTCATGTCTATAAAGGAAAGTATAGTACATTATCTTCCTGACAAAAATTGAAAACTGCCGCCTTAGCTGGTTTGGTTCAGTGGATATATAAATTATGGTTTATATACATAGTAATAAAAGCAAGAAGTGGCATGGGGAGTCCTCAAGCCAAACTCCTTTCATCTCTACTAACAAAGTCCCAAATAACCTCCAATAAGCATAAATAGAATACAAAACTGCATGCTGGTTATGCATAACAGGTACAAGACAAATTACCTATCTCTTTTCCAAGAAGTTTGCCTGGACAAACTCCTTATATTAATTCTTAATCAAACTTTCTACACACAAATGTAAAAACATAAAATGGTATCAGAAGCTGCTCACAAAACAGTAAGCAAAAAAAAAGCAGGTTACAAAGTGTATATGTTGTATTTTACTATTAAAAATATAGAAATATGACTCCAAAAAGGCTGGAAAAGACAATGAAATATTAAGGTTTGTTATCTCTACTTTATTATTTATATTTTCTTCAATACATGTTACTTAGATATTATTTTTAAATGTAAATAATAAATGCTTTGAAAAATAATTGTATACTGCAGCAGAAACAGGCCAAATGGCCAAGTAAGGCTAATTTTCCAAAGCTTAATGAAAACTTTATCATAAAAATATTATTTAGGGTAAACCTAAAGAATACCCTAATGTCAGATCTTTAATGACAAATAGCATTAAAATAATGGTTGTAAGCTTCTTGTCATTATTTATTAATCTAAGGTTGAAATTCTCATTCAAATACATCAATGATCTGAATATTTGCAAATCAAATTTAGAATTCAATGTCCACATTTAACTGGTTTGGTTTTCAGATACTGCATGGTGGTGTACAAACCCACCAGATAAACACTTCCTCTCCTAGATATTTTCTTTCTTTTATTTTATTGATTTTTTGTACAGAGAGGAAGGGAGAGAGAGAGTTAGAAACATCGATGAGAGTCATCGATCAGCTACCTCTTGCACACCCCCTACTGGGGATGTGCCCGCAACCAAGGTACATGCCCTTGACCGGAATTGAACCCGGGACCCTTCAGTCCCCAAGCCGAGGCTCTATCCATTGAGCCAAACAGGTCCCGGCCCTCTCCTAGATATTTTCTTTCAGTTTGCGGTTTCCCTTTCCAAGCAGCGATTACAAGAATTTAAAATATCACATTTGTTGTCTAGACATCCGAAAAGCGGGCTGCCTCAACACAAGAGCGCTAATAAATTCAACACGTCTTTTAAGATAGGTTGAAATCCCATTTCTGCTAACGGATAAGTCGATTCAAAAGACCAAAACCAAACTTATCAAGAGCAACTTTAAAAAGAGAAACTATGGAAGCAGAAAAACATGTACCTGGGAAGAAATTGGAAATGGATAAAATAGAAACTATTATGATAACAGGATGATGAACAAATGAACACACTCCCTTCTCAATCTGATGCATCTTCTCTGATCACATCAAAAGAAAAAGACAAATCAGATCATAGGCAGGAGGAGGCTGGGATGCTACCATGTGAACTGACAGAAAAAAACCTTTCATCTTCAAGTTTTTGTGAATCTGAAGAGGCCTCTCAGTCTACACAAGTCCAGGAAAAGGAATTACCTGTTTCTATTGGGTAAACAGTGATAGTCCTTTGAAAATCTAAAATAAGACAGAATTATTTCAAATATTTCTTTTTTTAAAATTAAGATGTATTAATGTATTTTAACAGTGAATATAAAGAATTTTGTACTTGGTTTATTAGTATTTATATGGCAGACTGCCTGTAAAATTGAAAATCAGATTGAGTTCAACACCTTTTTATGCTTGTCTGCTTATGCTCACTGTTTACTGCTTAAGATTTTATACAAAGCAATACCTTTAAGAAATATATGTAAAAAAAAAAAAAAAAAAGAGGACAGAAGCATGTATGCAACACAGAGAAACCCTAGTCTTACATAAACGCCGAGTGTGATGTTGCCAATCCCACGATGAATTCAAGCGTAAAAAAAAAGAACAACCGCCCCACCTCCAGGCGAAAAGGGTGCTTTGATTAGGGACTTCGGGGCCTATTAACTTTAGAAGCAGCATCAGCCTCCCAATCGATGTCATCACTAGAAGCCCGTTGGGCTTTCATAATTCCCTCTTGCTTAGCATCTTTCTACACAACATCAAGCTGAGGGGAGGGGGGGAGAGAATGCAAAAAAAAAAAAGATCAGATTCCAGGGAAGCCAGATGAGACTCAAAGGAAAGAATTCAGCAAGCGGCACCTAATGCTCCCTCTGCCGCAGGGCGCTGGAGTGCTGGTCCCAGACAGGGCCCAATGGGGTGAATGCAACCGCCCCGGCTCCGGCCCCGGCCCCGGCCCCGGCCCAGCACCTGCCGGCGCGTTCCCTCCCAGCAAGGTCTCCCGGCGCAGACCGCTGGGGAGCCCGCCCCTCCACCCGCCGACAGCAACGCCGCCACGTCTTGACACTTAGCTCGCCTGGGTGGAGAGGTCCCCCCCTCCGGCTTCCATCCCAACGCCCTCGGGACGCTCACTTCAGGAAGCCGACGTGCTCCTCTCCGTCCACCAGCACTCGGGCCGCCGAGATCCAGTCCTGAGGCTTCACTCCGGGGACCACCGCGCGCCCCTCGATCTTGAAGCGATCTCCTAGGCCGGCGCCAGCCCCTGCCGGCCCCTCGGCGGCAGCGCCGGGCGCCTCCGAGCCGCGGGCTCTCCCCGCCAGCTGCAGCAGCAGCAGGGCGCAGAGCAAGACCCACCGGGTGGCCGCCATGACAGCAGCTCTCCGCGGTCCGACCCGCGGCCCCGGAAGCCCTCCCCCGTCTCCCAGGCACCGCGCCGCCGGTTGCGTCATCACAGCGCGCCCGGCCTCGGCGCGAGTTGCGGGCTCAAACCCGGAAGCTTTGGCCAATCGACTTGCGAAGCGGAGACGAGGCGGACGCACTCCGCGCTCCTGATTGGCCCGCGGGCTGAGGAGCTTGTCAAGGGAAAGGACCGCCCCCTCAAGGAAGGTGGTGCAAAGCGTGTCGCTGTGGCAACTGCCGAGGTTTGGGTCCACTCGGGAGTGACAGAGGGTAAGACAGAGAAGGCCGAGGGGCTGAAGGAGTGTCTGCAAATGAGGCGGAGGCTTCGGAAGACATAGATCCAGAAAAAAACAACAACACACGTTTAAAACAATTTCTAGAGTCGTATGAGACGAAAAGGCTCCCGTTTGTGTGCTCCAGAGAGATAATGTCTCTACAGAGAAAACAGCTGGAAAAAAATGCGTAAATTTATTTACTAAGGGTGGCCTCTGATGAAAAGGGAAAGAGTTGGGGAACATTTATCTGACACTCTACACCCTTCGTCCTATCTCGAGTGCTTTTTGGTGAGCATCACAAGGTTATGGGGAGGGGGGTAAACCTGCCAGTGTTGATCTTGGGGCTAAGCCGGAGATTTCAGAGATCAGCAAGCCTTTCGTTTTCTTTTCCTTATTATTGAATTTATTGGGGTGACACTGGTTTACAGAAGTAAACAGTTTCCAGATGCACAATTTCACAACACGTCATCTGTCTGTACACCACCCCAAGTCTCCATTATCACTTTTCCGCCCTTTGCCCTGTTCCCAAGGCACAGGAATGGTGGTCCCCAGATGGGGTCAAAGGGAGATGAATATAGCCGGCTCCCTGGCTATATTGGCCCGGAAGGTGTGTGTGTGGTGGGTAGGGGTGAGGGGTGGGGGGTGGCGAAGGTACTCTATTCTCCTGAACATCAACAACTGCCTCCTAGGATAACATTCCCTAAGTCTTTTGAAGATAGCCATTTTTTTCAAATTTGGTCTTTGGAAGGAGCAAGTCTGTTATAAAAATATTATCATGTGCTATAACCCTTCCCACCAGCAGCAATCTATGCTAAAGTATGAAATAACATTTCACTTTTCTAAAATGATACATGTATAACCAAGCTGAGATACAAATAGCTTCCTCCCCAAATGTTCTGATTTTCTTTCACATATTTTTGGTGACCCTGCTTTGCTGGTATCTTAAGCACCCATTTAGTCTGACTAATAATCAATGCTGGCCTCAATACCCCAAGTAGGATCTGAGAAGTTTACTTTCCACGTGGGGCAAGAGTGGATGAAGACCAGCAGCAAACAGCAACTGAGCTCTCTATGTCCCCATTTCTACCTTTCTCTTTTTCCCCGTACCTTATTCTCACTCTTATACCAGAGTATCCAAGGTTTTGAACTCCTAAAACTTATACCTCCACAGTCATTAGATGGAGGAGAGAAGCCTAAGCAATGTTTTCAGGTAGCGTGAAGTTTTATCTGTTTTCTTCCCACAGGAATTGCATAGATATTCAGTGAAAAATTATACAATAATTATTCTAGAATGCAGTTCTTGGACTCATACCTTATAAAAGAAACTATAATTGTAACGAATTATGTTAGAAAGATTTTGTACTGGACTTGCTCTGTTTGCCCAGCCAGATCCACTTTCTAACCTTTACTGCTTTGTGCCTTGGAAGGGGGATTGTGAAGGATTGCAAAAACTTGGTTCAACCAAGAAATCACTGGTTCGATTCCTGGTCAGGGCACATACCTAGGTTTCCATCTCCATCTCCAATAGGGGACATGCAGAAGGCAGCCATTCTATGGTTCTCTCTCATCATTGCTGTTTCCATCCCTCCCTCTCCCTCCCTCTCTATGAAATAAATAAAAACATAATTTAAATAAACAAATAAATAAATGATTGGTTTCCTTTGTCCTCTGGATGTTTCCAGTTGGGTTTAGCCATGGGAGGAATTAGTAGGACATCCCTTTCTGTTTCCCTTACCACTGCCCATACTTCTAAGAAAGTTTAATGAAAAGATAATTCACAATCACCCCTTCAAGTCTCCCATGTATTTCCCGGCAAGACCCTGACCCATATAGGTTTCAAGGAGATCCATGTATCTTAATTATGGAAAATACCGTGAAAGTGAGAGGTGACCTGTTTTTTACCCAGGCCCTTTGCTTTTCTCTCTTTTTTTTTTTTTTTGCTGCCTGGCTCTTGGCTTCTTTGTATCTTGGCCACAAGGGGGCAAACAAGGATAGGAACAGAGACACTCAAAACACCACAGAATTTTTATAAATGTTGAGTTATACCAACAGAGGTTTACTCTGAGTTTTACAGTTGATATTTTATTTTTTTCTCGTTTTTCTGATTTTGCAATTTTTTAAAATAAATACAAATTATACAGATATAAAGCTATTTTAAATAAAAATAAAGGGAGAAGCTAATTGTGTGTGTGTGTGTGTGTGTGTGTGTGTGTGTGTGTGTGTATCCTATGTAATAAAAGCATAATATGCAAATCTACCATGCCCAAACAGCAGGATGACCATCCGGACAACCATTTGGGACCATGCTATGACATCCACTGGCACCAGGCCAGCCAAGATGGGTGAGATGTGTGATTGGTCAGGGGACCGGCCATCGCCCCATGTTCAACAGAGGGAGGCCTAGTTCACCGACCAGTGAAAGGAAGCCCTACTCTTACCCCAATCGCACACCAGTGGGGTTCCTCAGCCTGTCCTGCACCCTCTCACAATCCAGGACTCCTCAGGGGATGTTGGAGAGCCAGTTTCAGCCCAAACCTGCAGGCCAGGGTGAGGGACCTCTGGTGCATGAATTCATATACCAGGCCTCTAGTAGTGAATAAGAAACCAATGTGTTAGAATGAAGGAGTCATGTAACACTCAGTACCCTGTGTGCTTTGGGCTCTTCTGGCCTGGTGGACCCAGCTTCTCCAGGCCCTATAGTGAGAGTACAGGAATGTTCAATGTACCACAGGAACTGAGGCTAAAGGATTGGCTCTAAGACCAGTCACAGGATCTGAGAAATGCAATAGTAGTTGAACTCCAGCTTCACACAAAGCATCCCTAACCCTCCTTGCACTATCCCTGTGTCAATTGCCTCACATGCTAGCCTTTATAAAACATTAACACTCTTTACGTCTGTGCGTAAGTCTAAAAGCAGCGTCTTCTTTATGCCTTGATTTGAGTCTTACTGTCCTTTTATAAAAACTGTGGTAAAAGACACATAAAACTTTCCTTCTAACCATTTTTAGATGTATGGTTACGTAGTGTTAAGCATATTGACATTGTTGTGCAACTGCTCACCTACCTGCCTGCCTAATTGCCCCTAACCACTTCTGCCTGACAGCCTGATTGACACCTAACTGCTCCCCTGCCAACATAATTGCTGCTAACTGCCCTCCCCTGCCAGCCTTGACACCCCTAACTGCCCTCCCCTGCTTGCCCGGTCACCTCTAACTGCCCTCCCTTGCTGGCCTGGTTGCCCCTAACTACCCTCCCCTGCAGGCCTGGTACACCCCACCTGCCCTTCTCTGCCAGCCTAGTAACTCTTAACTGATCTCCCTTGCAGACTTGATCGCCCACAACTGTCCTCCCCTGCTGGCCATCTTGTGGCGGCCATCTTTGACCACATGGGGGCGGCCATCTTGTGTGTTGGAGTGATGGTCAATTTGCATGTTGCCTCTTTATTATATAGGATTTTACACATTTGTTAGAAGATTCCTCTGCTTCTTATGGGATCTGAACTCAGTTTTTTAGGGGAGAGTTATTGATAAAAGATTTTTTTTTTCCCTCAATCACATCCTTTATGAAGAAGAAGTCCTATTAGAATGCAGGGTACTCCCTAGGTATAGTTGCTTTTAAAATGGACATTGTTTCTCAATTGATATATTTGAGTATTTTTTGGTAAAAACATACATTCTGATTAAGTGTTTTGTTTTTGTTTTGGTTAATCCTCACCAGAGGATATTTTTACATTGATATTTTTTTAGAGAGTAGAAGAGAGGAGGGGAAGAGAGAGAGAAAGAAACATTGATGTGAGAAAGACATATTGATTGGTTGCCTCCTGTGTGCACAAGAATTGAACCTGCAACCTAGATACATGCCCTTGATGGGGAGTCACACCTGAGAGCCCCCGGTGCACAGGCCAACACATCTAACCATTGAGGAACAGCGGCCAGGGCAGATCCTTAAGGGTATTCATTTCTAACAAATTCATGTATGCTGCTTTGGACTACACTGAACTGTACTTTGAGCAGGGCTCTGTGGGGGAGAGCTATGATCATCAAAGTGTGGCTCTCTGCTTATGGGTGGACTCTGAGGGTCCCCCAGTCAAGATACTAAAATACAAGTTCCCTCTTTAGTTCTTATGATCACACACATAGAATTTCATATGACACTAAATGCTATATTTTGTGAATTACTAAGAACGACTCCATTTTTGTATTTATGAGCTACATTAACAGAGTGTTAGAGCTTACCACAGGGCCATACATGATTATAGGAGGCCCTAGGCACTTTTACCTTTGTAGACCTCTTCCTACACACACACACACACACACACACACACACACACACACACACACACACTTCTATTTTATGACTACATGGGTATAAAGACATAAATAACTCAGGCAGATTCATTATTATATACTCATTATTTTATTTATTTTATTTTTATTTTAAAGGAAATTAAGACACACTTCTAAAAGTATTCTGGGCCCTAGGCACTGCGCCTACTGAGCATAATACATAAGTTGGCCTTGGTTTACTGACGACCAGAATTGTAAGAGGAGGACTGGCAGCCACACAGTACTTGGCAGGCTGCTGCGCTCCCACAGTTAATGAGCAGAGGGCAGATATAGAATTCCTACAATTTTCAGACAGGATGCTGTCTGAAACACTGCACCAGCAGTGCTCTGAGTTGGTCATAATTTTCAGTTGCTGCTACTCCTATTTTAATTATGAGTCACTGTTAATGCACTTTACCTGTTAATTTATATGGGAGTTAATCTAGGAAA